TTCTATTAAGTATCACAGAAGGAAAATTCACTTAATTTTGTGTGGGAGAATTCACTGTATATCCATATATTTATTTCTTGGCATACTAAATATTTATCGTCATTTTTCACAACAGCCAAATATTATTTTGCGCCTTCTATTCTTCTTTTCGTTCAAAGTTCATAAAAATTCGTTTATTGGTGGTATATCATATAGAAACAAAAAATTAAATGAGATATATGCTTATGCACAATAGAAGAATAGTAAAAAAATACAAAGAAAATATGTTTCAAAACGGAAATAAATTATAATACAGACATGGCAATTTACGCTATCTAAAATCGCCTTAATTTTAGGAAATTTTAAATTTGTGACGCCGTTGTGCCACATTGACATTCTGAAATTTGTTAAGGTGAAAAAGAGCAATCCTCATATACGACTACTTGAATGCAAATTTAATTTTGGGAATATTTATTTTTTATTTGCGTAAATATCTGATTCATATTCACCACAAATGTAAATTAGAGCATTTACCTGTAGAAAATGACGTTATGGAATATTTGAGAATGTTTAATTATCGTAAACGATAAAATATCGTATGATTTTGATTTTTAATTGTTGTCGCTGTTTGGGTTATCTGAGAAATATATGGCTATGTAGAAATATACATACGTACACACCAAGCACATCGATTGGGGTTTTACATAATGTTTGTTTCTGACAACTAAGAAACTGGTATTATTTGCAGACTACGATTTTTTATCATGACCATCATTACACCCATGTCAAAGTTTGTTATTATTTGTTTTTTTTTTTTTTAATTTCAACCTTGACCCATATTAAAAGCATATTGAAGCAAACCTCTAGACAAATAGGCAAGCAAAATCTATAGTGTATATGCTAGTATGTGTATCCATGTTCATTTTGCCATATTTTTATGAATGGAATTATTATTGGCTAAAATATATATCAGAAGGAATGAAAAAGTATTTTTGGCAAATATTGTCGTCTGTTTCCATGTTTGTTTACTTTGTTATTGTTATTTTATTTATCATGTCTTGATACAGTTTTTTGTAGTGGCAGATTCCATCCATTCAACGTGTATTTCTTGGCCTTGAATCAAAAACAATTTTCTTATTGGATAAACGTGTTAGAAAGGTTCTTTGAAAAGATTACGAATACAATCGACACACTACAGAACCAGAAAGAGGAATGTATTTTACAAACTCGTGTGAGTTATACTGTTTTTTTTTTTGTTTTTTTTAATTTAGGGATATTTTAAACATAAAAAATATTTTTCCTCTTCTTACCAGCTATTGTAAAACGATCCATATAATTGATTACATTTGCAAAACATAGTACGGCCACTGTAAACAATTGGCTACGGGCAAAACAACGGTGAACACAAGGAGCACAATCAATGGTGGTACTATTTTGTCGTTGTCTTTGCCTTTCTGTGTCATCGACACTATCACTTTTGGACGGCATTGGCATTAGTTGTCGTTATAAACATTTAGTGTCAAAGGGTTTGTTGTGGCGAAAATGTATTTCAGAAAATTGTATTTATTTGTAATATGTATTTTCAATATTCAATTGAAAAAAATATACCTAAATGACGTTACAGAACATACATACATATGTATGTACATAATATTTGAAAATAACAAAATGTGTCATCATCACATGTGAGAGATAAATGCCATTCAACATTGACTCTACTTTTACATTTAAAAAACAAACAAAAAGTTACCAATCCACCAAACAGAAAATATCACGCCACTTTCAACTTTGTCTTTTTATTATTTTTTCTCATCAGATATACTTGCCGAATGTATGTACATATGTCCCATTCATCCATATACACATGGTAAGATAAATGTATAGTACTAATTAAATTCCATTATGACTGGTCAAAAACACAAAATACTCCCATGAGTCAGCTAAAGCATCATCCGACAAAACGGAAAATAACAAAACTCAAAAATATTTTCAATACTTTTTCAATCATATTGTGGGAAGAGGAGGAGAAAGCGCTTGTAAAAACAATTTTGATTCGGTTATTATTGTTTACCAAAACAATCCACCCTACTAGTAGCAAAACAAAACTGATGGCCTTATCAGGCAAATGTCTAACGGTTCGGCGGTAGCGGTATCGTCCCGCGATGACGTATAATCATGATTTTTCAAACCAGATTAAGTAGTCATATAGCAATAATCTAAGAGCATAATACAAATTTGAAATTGAAAAAAATACTACAACTTCTATGAATGAAATGCTGGTAGGCCAAGTAATGGCATTTTCGTTAGTGTGTTTGTACTCGTCTTGAATCCATAACAATCGCACATAAATTGCAAAATATTTTTGTGGGGAATTCTATGTCACGAGACTTTATACTTGGCGCAGACATTCTTTATTATAACTGGGCATATGGTATTAGCTTGCTAGCTGGCAAGCTGATAAGAGAACTGAGCAGCAGCAGTAAATACTGACGCAACGCTAATAGCAACTTGCTGATATAAGTGTTGGTGGCGATGGTGGCGTGATGTATAGATGATAGATTTGTCCAACAACTAAACTAAACTGAGGGGAATTGTGTTAACACATTCATTGGCAACATGTAATACAAATGATCAAATACCATTCAACTAACCACCAACTCGCCAGCATATGACTGACTGAGGCTTGTCCGGTGATTTTTGTCACTCTGATCGATTACTGTTAATTGGAATTTGATGAATTTTAAAGATTCTCCAATTTCATTTGGTGGAATTATTCGATTTAAAAACAAATATTAATAATAATAATGGGGAAAAACTAGAGATAAGACTGCGTAGGAATGGAAGATATGCCCCCACCCGAAAATCAATGACAAGTATGTAGGTAAGTTTGCAAAAATAAAATCAGCAACAACAGTACTACCGCCATTAATGGTGATAAGCACAACGAACTTATGACCATTTCAAGGTTAGACTTTATATTTGCTTATTTTTTTCAAAAACGAATGCTTGCCAATTTCAAGGTAGAGCACAGCAGAATCTGAAGCTGAAAACATAAACAAACAAAAAACATGTATAACAAAAAAAAAAAGAAGAAGATGAGCAAAAATTATAAATATTAAAAATGGAACTTAGAAACCAAAACAATGTCACAACTACAATGACATAGATATCTAACAATGTATTTTAATAGTATCAATGCAAAATTGTTTAAAATAAAAATTTAACAAATTATTTTTCGAATCCGTTATCTACACAATGCTGCACATTTTTAGAATTTATTTATATGTCTATACAAATGTGTTTCTAATGTAAATCTTATTACCAGTCGACCAAATATAATTGTTTTTAATTAAATTTTGTCGCCTGGTGTTATTAAGAATATAAAATATCAAATGCATTCACATTACTCCCACAAATAGAACGTGACAAAATTGTAGAATTGAATACTGTCATAAAATATTTCTCGCATCAATTACCACGTTTAGAATGACTAATACTCAAAATAGGTACATAGAGAGGAGTGCCTGAACGGAAGCTATTTCAAGATTCAGGAAATGTTTAGAAATTAAATTAAAAATACATTTTCTTCAACAAACACAATTTCAAAAAAAAAAAGAGACTTGGGACAGAATCTTATTTTGATCTTTGGGGAAGAATTATTATTTGTTAAATTTGTGTTGACATCTCTTAACCTTAATGAATGAACTTAAGAAACAAAAGGCAGCATCAAGCCAAATTTGTAATTAAATTTAATGCGGGTCACATATGTATGTGGTAGAAATTTTACTGGCGACTATCAACGTTGATTAAGCGCACGCGTTTGCATTTAGGGTTTTGTTGAAAATACTTCGAATTCTTCATGTAGAAAAATTAAATTAAAAAAGGCAAAACCAGACTTTATTTCTTTCATACAAATTATAAATAATTTATTTTACTAGATTTTATATTAATTTATGGTTTTTTAATAATATCTTAATAGTTTCCCATGTTATGTGATACCGATTTAAGAGCTTGTCTTAAATTGGGTATCATACTAAATTGTCTGTTAACAAGCGGTATGGTAGTTTTAGAGGTTCATTCCAAATGTACGCAAACACAATTCCTTCGACTCCTGACTTAGTCGTATATTATCAAACTATAAGGGGAGTACGGTGTAATTTAGAATGGCACGTTTCGATAATAATTATATACGAAAACCTTACGATTGGATTATAAAAGAGACAGTGGACTAGACAGATTTATGATTAAAAAACTAAATTTCCAATCGTAAATTGCAAATTGTTAATATATTTCTTCAAACCCATTGTTATAAATATACTGATTTGTTTATTAGTAGTAATCATGATGTAGATAAGAAAATCCCATTGAAAAAACAAAACAAATAAGGCAATCAGTGAGTTTATCAATAAGTACGCCAATTTAGTTGAATTTATATGATTTATATACTGATTTTGGGGCAAGAATCGTGTGACTTCAAATGACACCTCTTAAATGCCGAATATTTTAACTTCAAGAAAAATATATCTCATAAGACAATCCTAGGAATATTTTTAAATGAAAATATTCTACAGAAAAAAATATACTTCGGTATCGAATCTATATCATATAAACTTTATTATATATTACTTGAAAATAATATTTAGTTCAGATATACTTAAGTATTTTGAAAAGATTGAACGATTTTTCAAAACAATATCCGTTTTCAAATATAATTCTTACTTCCTTATGCAAAACAAGTCATGAAAAAACCATCAACAACAATTCTACAAAAGATTGAGAACAAAATTATATTTTCTACTTTTATACTAACACAAGAAGAATAACAATAACAACAACATCAGTGTTGCTATAAAACAGTTGAAATAGCTGTAGCGAGCTGTGTTGTGTTGGCAAAGAAGCAATGACTAATTTTATCCGTTATAAAATATCGGATGTTCATATGAAACAATCAGCTGCTTGCGCAATATTAAAGACTATTGAGGGGGTTTTATCATCAAACAACTTCTTCCTCTTCTTCTTACCTGCTATTGTAAAACGATCCATATAATTGATTAAATTTACAAAACATAGTACACCCACTGTAAACCATTGGCTACGGGTAACACAGCGGCGGGCACCAGGAGCACAATCAATGGTGGCACTATTTTGCCGCTGTCTCTGCCTTTCTGTGTCATCGACACTGTCACTATCGGACGGCGGCATTAGCTGTTGTGATGAATATGTGGAGGGTAGGGCACCAGCACCGGTCTGGTCGCCATCGTCAGCACTGCTGGTACTACGGGTCATGGCCGGATTGTCCATGGTGACTGTGGTTGTGGGTATCGGCTGATACGTTGGATACTGTGATTTGTTAGACATTCACGTGGAAGAGACCAGTTAAGCGGCGATTAAAGTTTATTTCCTTCAAAGTTCTTTTTTTTTTCTTGTTTTCTTTTGCTTTCCTTTCAAATAATTGCACGAATCGTCGCTGTATTTGCGAATATTGCGATCCAGCGAGTGTGTGTGCCTGTGTGAGAGTGCACAAAACAACACAATAATGCACACGAATTTGCACCACAAAACAAAAACAGCAACAAATGACGTAAAAATTCCTTTGCTGGCTGTTTGTCACTATTTCTTTCAACTTTCTCTTGTTTGCAATTTTTTTTTTGTTCTCAAACTAAATTATTTTTTTATTAATATTTTGTTGTTGTTTGCATAACATCGAAGCGCAACAAATATTTAAAGATTTTTTTCTTGTTGTTCTTTGCCACTTGCTTGACTGCAGTAATTTGAAGCAATTATTCGCGCACTTTGCCAATTTATATAAGAATTACAAAAAACAAAATTGCAATTTTAGTTCACAATCGGAACGAACAGCCGAATAAATGACTAAACGCGACAAGTGACAAATATCAACTGACAAATGAAATCGAAAAATTGAAATTATCGCTCACGGCATTCACAGCAGAATGATTACACGTCCGCCAATCACTGAAGAGTGATGACAGGCAGATGGCTGCTGTGTGTTACTACTTTTCAGTGACTACTAGACATGTTATCACTTTTCAGTGAATCCCTGTGGACGATATCAAGTTTATTTCGATTTGAGGACACGAAATTTGAAATGTTATCTATTAGAACGACATCCTTTTCCGTCAGTACTTTATGTACCATTACAAATGTACTGAGGCGGTTTCCTGAAATATCACATAGAGTGGTGGTTACATAACACACTCTCTTCAGACAAAATGTTTCGAATATTTATCTACGCCATGATACAATAATACAAATTTTATTCATATTAAGAAAAAGTCAAGTTTAGGGGATACAATTATACCGTATGTACTTGCCGATTACAGTGATATATATTTTATGTGGAGGATGTCCTTACTTCCCGAGATATGGGCAAATGAATTGTTATCCAATTTCGATCGTCTGTAGTAACTACTTAGTTAAATGAAAGAAGATGGAAATTTGATAGCTTTGTAATTTAACTGTCGTTCTATAAATATTTGTCATCGAATAAAAATCAGATATACTTAAGAAAATGCTTGCTGGGATCATGCCGTACAGCATTTATCATAGTATGTGTTATTGTTTGAAAGTTTATTTATGTATGTGTGACACACACAATGCAAGAAGAAAATCAATATAGTTTTGATTTTGAAAATGAAACCCTTTCAATCTTGTGAATTTTATTCATTTTCAAAGTTGACAGTAAATAATTTTGAGTATACATACATTACGACTCAAAATGTGATTTTTTTTTTTTTGGCAAAAATAATTTTTTTTTGCAATAATAGGTGTGTCTGGTTACTTTTCCAGTAACATTTATTCAGTAAGTTCTAGTTCAGAGAGTAAGCTTTTTTTACTCTCTTTTGGGATAATACTGAGAAAAGTAAACAGACCACATTTAGTAAGATTTAGCAAATAAACAGCTGATTGAAGAAAACATTTTATTTGCGCCAAAATAAACAACTAAAAAAGGACGAACACAATTATTTGTATTGCATTTAATATTAAAAATAAAATGAATAATAAAAGAAAAATTGATCTGGTATGTTCCGCGGGAACATTTGAGCTCACTGCATCAATACATTGCCCTCTATCTGGAATTTGCCTAAAAATATATAAGGAATTAGTTTCTAATTTAATGAAACTTTGCATTACTTACGAATTTTCTTCCATTTTCTGTAGTTTTTATACAACTTAACTTCAAATTGAGCTTTGCAAATTAAAAAAATGTTTTGAATAAGTTTTGTGTTTGGCCATAAAACAGCTGATCCAAAAATGGCTGAGTTTGCAAAATCTTACTGCATAAAATTCTTTCAGTAAACTCCAGTTGGTTTGTTATTGTTGAACAGTCAAACTTGCTCTCTCACTTGACTCTCTTTTACTGGATTTTTGGGTAAACAGACAACATTTGGTAACAATTGTTACCAAATATCGAGTAAACAGACAGAGCTAATGATTGAAGAGTTTGACACATACAAGTCAATCTCACATATACAAAAAGGGGTTCATCGGCATGACGGCATGATTTATAGTGTATGGGGCCCTTTACAGATTAATTTTAAATGCAAAATAGGATTCCCCGTACGATTATTTTAAGTTGATGGAGTTCTTGAGATTTTTACTTGTAGACAGCAGCATGTATGGTTACGCAGTCCGATTTCTTTTTACGATCAATTTAAGAATTAGGTAATTTTTTTAGATAGCCGTCCTTTAGCTAAACAAAAATAGAGTGGTTTCGTTATATAAGAAATGGGATATATGTCATATACCTTATAACTTTTTTTACAATTTTTTTTATATAAGATTAATTACCAAGAAATTAATGAAGTGTTTTGATTTTTCACAATATCTGGTTACACTTGTGATTAACATAAATCTTCTTCCATCAAACGCCGAAAGATTTTACTCAAGAGTTGTGTAATGTTGAATTTTGATTAAAGCTAAATTTGAAAAGTGAAAAAATAAACGTATATTCAAGACATATACTCACATACAAATTCAGTTATTGTTTCGACAGGAATGGGATACCATAAGTGAAAATAAAATGGTATTCGGGTTGTAGCGTTAAAATTTACGATTTTTGTACTGATTTACAGTGGTTTTTAATTGTCAATTTCATTACATATAGGGTAAGTGCTCCTAAAGTCGACATGTAAAGTCTTTGTGTAAAATCTATCTATGTTCCATCATCAATCTAATTTCTTTTATTAGGCAGTAATTAAGGTTGTTCTCAATGTGGTTGTTTCACCACTAGGGACAGTGTATGTTTCTTAAGAAAAAAATAGTGAGCATGCCGATTTTACAAGACTCGTAACTTTATTAAAATTATATATCTTTCATAATTGTAAGGAACATTCAGAGGAACACTTTAGAATTTAAAATTATTAAGAAGCATTTGTAATTATTATATTTTTATGGATGCCGCCCTTAGGAACAAAAAAATTTACGATTTTCCTATAGTCGGCATATGGGTGAAAAATAAGCACATTTTTGATCGTTTTGGCTCAATATTGGGAAAAATGTTAAATAAATATTCTAAAAGCCAGGCTTAATCCCAGTTTGTTGTTTTTATAAAAAACAACTATTTATTAGTGGGGAATGTATGGCATTGTCCGCCGAGGGGTAAGTTTCGGATCTCGCCACTGATCCTCATCAGTTCCCTTAGTTTTTTGTTGGGATATTCTCCCCAGAAGCTATTAATAGCTTTATTACAAAAAACCTTATATATGTCTCTTGTGACAAATCGAATTGTTACCAGCGATACGACCCCAATGAGAAGTTCGTTTCGTTGGCGCCTGACTTCGTGGTCAACACATTTACAGACAATTACAATACATTTCCCACTGCTATGTGTCGTCACTTTGTGAAAACATAACGTTGTTGATGGTATTGCTAGTTAAAGCAATAAACCAAACAGTATGACCGTGCCTCGTCTACAACTTCAGTAGTGTTGGCGGGTTATTTGGGATACCATTTCTCATTGGGGTCGTATCGCTGGTAACGTAAGAACTTCGATTTGTCACAAGAGACATTTGGGTTTGAAAGGTTTTTTGTAAAGAAGCTATTAATAGCTTCTGGGGAGAATATCCCAACAAAAAACTAAGGGAACTGATGAGGATCAGTGGCGAGAAAACTATAGCTTCATTTTTGCCATACATTCCCCACTAATAAATAGTTGTTTTTTATAAAAACAACAAACTGGGATTAAGCCTGACTATTTTGCAAAAACAAAATACAAATGGTATCCCAAATAACCCGCCAACACTACTGAAATATTCTAAAAGCCGATTCATTTATAAAAGAATCAATTTTGAGTGGGTTTACACAAAATTAGCAAGGTCTTAGTCTCAAACAATTTTAACCTATAAAGTAAGTGTATAAGCAATGCCGAGTATTGAATTTATAATTGTAATATTTTTAGAAAATAAATCAATAATTTAATTGTTTTGCGCAATAAAGAAAGTAAAGTATTTTAATAACCATTTATTTAAGAAAATAATAAGAAAATCAGTCAAATATAAAATTTTTCTTCAATTACAATACGACATGCCGAATATTGGAAAATGACATGCCGACAATTGGAAACTCGTGCCGACTATTGTCAATTTGCTCAACTTTCATACGAAGTAATTAAAAATTTGTTTAGGCCATCGGGAAGTAAACAAAATTTCGAAACAAATGAGCCCTAATACATTATAATGGAAAAAATGCACGCAGAATGGCGGAAAACGATTGGTACATTTACCCTACATATGCCAAATAAATTCTCAAAAACATTCGGTTTTATTTTACCTCATATCATTGTACCATGATTGTTTCTGATCAATTGTATATTCGAAAATATACAATTTTATTGATTTTTTAAATACTGACAACTACTCGACCCCAAATGTTCCGTAATATAATTATCACTTTGGATTAGTAATAAAAAAATAATATAGGTACTTATTAAGCTTTAAAATCAACAAAATTAAAATTTTTACACCTGTTCTCGAAAACTTCACCACATGGTAAATGGAAAAGTAAATAACATATGACTTTGATATATTCGGCAATGACGTAGAATTGTATATTCTTTCACTGTATCCATGGTACAATTATCCAAGGTAATTGCAAAACCCAGTTAACTCGATTCCAATGTAATATAAGTGTCATATTCGATATGACAAATTATTTTTAAAAAATGCAACAAAGCAACGAATTAGATCAATTATTACATTCAAAGTAAAGTGACACCGCATTCTCAGTTTTTAAAAATAATTTAAGCTTTGTTTTTTTATTTAATTCGAACCTGTACTAATTCAAGAATGTACCTTTTAAATTTCAAGTCATGGATGGATGATATAATAATGATATAAGGTAACAGAAAGTGTTGTTGTACAACAAACGATGCAAATTTGTTGTTGTACGTAATACTAGTGTCAAAGTCATTTGTTTTAGAAATAAATCCTTAAAATAAAATTAAAAAACACGAATGAAAATCTATCAAATTTATATTTCTATCGCTTCCACATCTTTCCTCTAATTGAGCCACTGTCAATTGCGAGTTATTCTATGAAGAAATATTTGCTTTCTCAAACGTTCCCAGCAGGCGGATTGCGTTAATTGAATACGGTAGGGCATTTAATAAAGGACATTTTCAAATTATATGCGTGTGGCATCTCCGTTACCGCCGTTAACAAACAATACGAGAGATGGCAACTCTGACAAGAGACAACAAAGAAGAAAGCAAAAGTTAGTTGCTCGCGAAATCTTCAACACCACAGTTGTGGCAAATCGACATCATTGAAATTGAACTCCTATTTATTGTCTTTTGAACTAATATTAAATAAAATAGTTATTAATGGTTGTTATTATAACCGCTGTGTTTTAATTCATCAACAACTCCAATAGACGAGGTCACCACTATAGTGGTGACCACTATAGTGGTGACCAAACAAAAACAAAATTTGCAACAAACTAATTGCGGCAACATTCGAGGAATTTGCACAAGTTGAACGTTCATTTGCTTTGTGCAGCATAACATCGGATAACGACAAATTCGACCTAGTGAGTGTCCGTCTTGAAGACGAAGTATTGCTGGCAGTTGAAGACCTTATTACAAATTCACCGAACTCAAGCAAATATTCTGCAATTAAGGACAGAATTATTTACAAATTTGCCGAATCTCCCGAATCAAAACTGCGACGTTTAATACAAGGTGGTGAAACAAACGGCATGAAGCCAACGTCAATTTTGGCACATATGAAACGACTTGCACCAGGGAAAGGAAATGAGGCAATAATCCGAACACTGTTTCTTGAACAAATGCCTGAAAACATGAGACCTTTTCTTACCGCCTGGGAGGAAGAAGACCTCGAAAAATTGGCGAAGACCGCTGATAAAATGTTTGAAGCCAACAACAACAATTGTGTTAATTCTCTTTCTACATTGCAACAACCAGTTGTTGATGCCATTAACCAACGAATGTCTTTCACCGATATGTGCCAAAGAATAAGGGAACTTTCGGAGAATGTCGACAAAATTCAACAACAAATTGGTAAGAACACACGACATCGTTCCAAATCCCGAAATCGTTCAACAAGTGGACATAATTCAAACCAACGGAATTTATGCTACTTCCATCAAAAATTTGGCGACAACGCAAGAAAATGTAAACCTGATTGTGCAAAATTCCAGCCGGAAAACTATATCGGCTGTCGTCAGTCAAATCGGTTGGCGACAGCAGCAACAACACATGTGAAAGACGTCTACATCTTTACGACATATCAACAAATACCCGATTTCTCATAGATTCTGGATCGGCGGTATCAGTTATACCTCCTTCTATGATAAAGCAGAAACTCAAGCCATCCAAACTTGCGCTTTTGGCTGCTAACCAAAGCGAAATCAAAACTTTTGGTGATTGTGTATTGAAACTTGACCTCGGACTTCGACGAGAATTCAAATGGTTGTTTGTGATAACTGAAGTACACACCCCAATAATAGGTGCCGATTTTCTAGTCAATTTTGATTTACTTATTGATCTCAAACAAAAACGTCTCATTGACAACAAAACCAAATTATCCACTCGTGGTAACATTTTACAAACCAAAGAGTTTGGAATTTCGACATTGAATTCCGCATCACCCTTCACAGACCTGCTAAAGGAGTTTGAAGACATTACAAAAACGACAACGCTTCGGAAGCCAACAGATGAATTGGTCGTCGTTCATCACATCGAAACAACAGGAACTCCAGTTGCTGATCGTCCACGCCGTCTTTCAGGTGATAAATTAAAAGCAGCTAAAGCCGAAATGGATTATCTAGTCGAACAAGGTATTTGTCGTCCGTCAAAAAGTGCTTGGAGTAGTCCTATACATATGGTCGCGAAGAAAACTGGTGGTTGGCGCGTCTGCGGTGACTATCGTAAACTCAACTCACAAACAGTCCCAGACCGATACCCCGTGGCACACATACACGATTTTTCTGAAAACCTTTATGGTAAGTCAATTTTTACTACCCTTCACCTTACCCGGGCCTATTACCAAATACCAATGGCTGAAGAAGACATCGCAAAAACAGCAGTATGTACACCGTTCGGACTTCTAGAATTTTTGTACATGCCTTTTGGTTTAAGGAACGCCACACAAACTTTCCAACGTTTCATAGACAACGTGTTTAGAGGGATTGACTTCGTTTTTTGTTATATTGATGACATCATCATTATGTCAGAATCTCCACAACAACATCGAGAACATCTTCGTACAGTCTTCGAAATTTTACGCCGATATGGACTCACCATTAATCCGAACAAACGTCATTTTGGTGTACCTGAGGTGAGATTTCTTGGCTACGTAATTAACGCAAATGGTTGTTCTCCGCCTACAGATCGTATTGAGGCTATCAAAAATTACAAGAAGCCAGAAACTATCTGCGAACTTCGTCGTTTTATTGGCGTCATAAACTACTACAGACGTTTTATACCCCACGCAGCACATCAACAAGCACCCTTAAACGAACTCGTTGGGAATTCCAAGAAAAACGACAAACAAACGGACACCGGAATTAGAAACCGCTTTTGAGACCTGCAAAAGTCTTTGTGAAGCCACAATGCTTGCACATCCAGCTCCAGACCTAGAACTAGCATTGGTAACGGATGCATCAGACACTGCCGTCGGTGCTGTTTTAGAACAAAACTTCAACGGTATATGGAGACCTCTGGGATTTTACTCGAGTAAGTTACTAAAATCCGAAAGAGCGTACAGCACATACGATCGAGAATTGCTCGCCATTTACAAAGCAGTGGAATATTTTCGACACATGCTGGAAGCACGACATTTCGTCATCAAAACCGATCATAAACCGCTCATATATGCATTTTCTCAACGACCTGAGAAAGCATCGCCCAGACAACTCCGAAATTTAGATTTTATATCTCAGTTCACTACAGATATAGTATATCTTTCTGAACCTAGTAATACAGTTGCAGATGCTTTTTCAAGACTCAACGAAATCTCAATGCCGTCAAGCGTCTCACACGAAGACATTAAAAAATCTCAAGAATCCGACGAAGAGTTAAAAACTATAATTGAAGGTAACAATTCTTTGAAGCTGCAAATAATTCACTTCGGAAATACATCAATATATTGTGACATCTCAATGGGACATGTCCGTCCATACATTCCAGAAGCATTGCGGAAAGAAATTTTCAACGCTGTACACGGACTTTAAAACCCTAGTGGTCGTTCAACTCTACAGCAAATTCGAACAAGGTACATCTGGCCCGGAATGAAAAAACATATCATCAATTATTGTCGTCGCTGTCTTCATTGTCAAAAAGCGAAGATTACCAGACATTCTCGTTTAACTCCGAATAAAATCGATGTTCCAGATAATCGATTTGATTATGTGCATTTAGACATCGTTGTTATGCCACATGTTCAGGACTTCAGATACTGTCTCACAACGATTGATCGATTCTCCAGATGGCCTGAAGCTGTTCCACTCAAAAACATGTCCGCTCAAACTGTCGCTAGTGCATTTTGGTCAACATGGATTTCTAGATTTGGTTGCCCAAAAACAATAACAACTGACCAAGGCACTCAATTTGAATCAAGTCTTTTTAAATCCTTAGCAGCACTAACCGGAGCACAACGAGCCCGTACAACAGCGTACCATCCTCAATCCAACGGCATGGTTGAGAGGTGGCATCGTACTTTCAAAGCAGCATTAATGTGTCATCCGACAGTTTCCTGGGTTGATATTTTACCAACAGTTTTACTTGGACTCCAATCTACATTTACAGTCGATCGTCTCAAACCAGTTTTCGACTTCGACGATTCGAATCCAAACATCACATCAAATCATAACCAGACTGCGACATCTACTCAAAACACTTCATCAAATGACAGTCAAAATACGCCGCAATCTCCTTCTGAAAATTCAACCGCACCTACTCCATCAGCTAGGTACATATCTTTCCAGGATGATCGTGACTGTGTCACTGGAGGGGGAGTGGTTGTGGCATCTCCGTTACCGCCGTTAACAAACAATGCGAGAGATGGCAACTCTGACAAGAGACAACAAAGAAGAAAGCAGAAGTTAGTTGCTCGCGAAATCTTCAACACCACAGTTGTGGCAAATCGACATCATTGAAATTGAACTCCTATTTATTGTCTTTTGAACTAATATTAAATAAAATAGTTATTAATGGTTGTTATTATAACCGCTGTGTTTTAATTCATCAATAACTCCAATAAACTATATGCGTAACCAATTTTTCTGTTGGGTCATTTTTAAAAATACAATTTGTAATATTCATATTGATACGAGTATTACTTTGGACTTTTTTTTAACTAAAATATTACACCTTAAAACGCCGTTTTAACATTTAAACATTGAAGGATATTTTTAATTGCATTTCGGGCATCATTATTTTTAAAATTGGAAAGATGATATAATGCAGCTTCTTGATGTTTCCGATGTAATTGTTCCGTTTGATATAAACCAGGACCCTTTAAAATTAGTTTACGTATTTTCTGGTAGTTCACATTTTTCACATTTTCTTTGCCATTTTCAATTTCATCATACAATGTCGGATCATTTTCCAAATGATATAAAACTGGAGCAGAAACTAAGCTGAAAGGAACATCTAAACAATTATTAATAGCGTTATAGGACCAAATCAAGGGAGGGAAATAGGCTTCGTACCTTTTTCGTTTATGGGTAGTAGAAACGCCTTGAGCTCCCGCGATGATTGCCAAGCCAGATGAAAGTGTTTGCCAAATAAATAGGCATATTTTTGAATCTCGCCAGAGTGCTTAGCCAATATCATAGCCGATTTACAGGCATTTCCCAATAAACTACCGCCATTAAAAATATTTCGAAGTTCCCATTCCATCTCTGTGTTACCTTTGACTTCAGCGATATTATGCGGAGCAACAGTGTCTCCGTTATCAACAAAGGTTTTGATGGCGCTTGAATTACTTTTCAATATTTCCGGCGATTGCTTCTTCCATGGCAAAGGACAATTTTGTTCATCTCTGATTCCAAAAAATTCACCATCCGCCATATTTCTAATGCCGGCCATAATTAAACTCAGAATTTCCTGATTTCTTAATTTGGAAATTTCAAGTATAGATCCACCCAATAACAAATCTCCAAACAATAAGGCTATTTTATTGCCTACTAGCATATCCTTAAAATTTTCCACATCTTGGCCTGCCCTTGTCGTTTTCTGCAGATTAACTAAATTCTATAGAAAAAATCTTTTAAATTGGGCTTATAATATTACCGATATAGCTAAACTTACGCAGTGTATTATTTGTGATTTATGAATAAGTTGTGTGATTTCGGCCAAATCCCTTTGGGTGGGCAAGATGTCACCACTGCATTTTGTGAAGATACATCTTTGACCAGCTGCAGCTGCTTTTGATAATAACAGTATGATCAAACCCCAGATATGAACAGCGCTTTCGTCATTTTTCAATAAATATCTGCAACATTAAAGACAATCGTTAAGTTGGTATTTTTAATTTTGAGCTACCTAAAATATATATCAAATATATAATTGCCCAATTAATAAAATTGACCAATATATTTCACGAAAATTCGTGCTTAAAACAAATTTAAAAACTATAATAATGTGTTCATTTTTATGTAAATATTTGTAGGAGTAAATATATGAAAAAATCTTCAATTATCAAAATTGGCCATATATGAATGTGTTTCTACAAGAAGAAACGGATATGAAAATGCCTTAGTATAACCTTTCCTCTGCTCCAAAAATTTCAGGAATCTTTAATTAATGAAAATTGTTTTTGATATTTTCTTTTTAAATTTGGAAATTTTAACATTTTTTGATTTCGGTAACAGACCATTAAAAACATATGTTTAATAATATGATATATGTGTCATTTAACTCATGTTCGAAGTTCAATAAATCTGGTATGTATTGTAATACCAGGAATAAGTAAATTCAGCTTTTTTGAAAATTTTGGGAATTGTTTCTGCCTCCATGTTATCCCATTCACAAATTTCGGCTCCCTCAGCAAATCTTTTTTCAACAAAGAAAACTACATTCTAAAAGTAGAAGTTGTTGTGATTTTTTAAAGATCGAATGAAATCCAGATCTATTGGCTGAAATACAGTGTTTGCTGGCATAAATACAGTGTTTAAATTCTCTAAAATAGTATTACTAACATGCAGTTAAGCGGTTTGGACTATAATTGTTGTTAGTTAATTCAATTTGCAATGTGGTGTGTACTATTGAAAATCTACAACCAATTCTTGTAATTTTAAAATTTGATCATAAAACAACTGATGTTACTGGAAAATTTTTACTCAGTAACCCAACTGTCACATCTGCTCTCTCTCTCAATTCATTCTCTTTTACTGGATAATTTGTACAAATATTTGTGTATTCAATACCAGGGTGCAAAGGATGATTAAAATACGCTCTTTCTCACGAATGCTCACAGGCGAGAATTCGAATGTTTTCAATTTATCGCGAATGATAAAGTTACAATGAATGAACGAGCATTTGCAATCTCTCGCGAATGTTCGCATTGAGGGAAATATTCACGAACGATAAAATTTCGCTGCAAGCGTCGTCGATTCATTCTTTTGAAAAGCTCAAAAAAGAAATATTCGCGAATGCTCGCGAGCACTGTTAAAAACAACAACAAACAAAAATATCATAAAAAAGTAAAAACACAAACAATGAAAGAATGTATATGTAGCAGAAAGTGTGTGGAATAACAAAACACATGTCCAACAACTATTGAGTTCACGAACGTTTGTTGTTATTGTTGTTGCGTTTTGAACATTCGCGAGAATTTAGGAATGTTTGTTTTCATTCGTGAGAGAATTTCAGAACGAATTTCAACCAATAAACGATGAAATAATCATTGCCCCCATTTAAAGGAGGACTCTTCCATTTTCGTTATTTTGAACCCTGAAGTGTTTTGACATTACGGATTGCTGGTGAGTGGTGACATTACGGAATGAATGAAATATGGCAATACATACTTCAAAATCAACATAACAGTTAATCAGAAGTTGATAATCAATTTTTACCATTTTTACTCGGACAAATTTTTCGAGTAAAAAGTTTACAAAGAGAGCGCCATTTCGTCTTACCAGTTTTGTGAGTTCAGGAACGGGTTTCGCGTAAAAAGTTGCAAAACTTGTACAATTAGTAGATTCTTTTAGGTTCTGGAACGGAACTATTATTTATATTTATTAATATTTCTATGTTCCCTGCCTTAAAACCCTTGCGATATAAATTGTAACATCCATATTCACATCTTGAGAACAATGTGCAAGTTAATAAAATATAAATTTTTAATTTATTAAAAATATGTCAATCAACATACACTTAATTTTATGGAATTTATTTTTCATTTTATTTGAAATTGATATATAAATTTCAAATTAAAAAAATTGCCATTATTAATTTCTCAAATGAGACTACCTTCCATAATTGTGCTATGGCAGTACGGGAACAGACAATAAAAAACGTTGGGTACCACAGTCGGATCACGTCAGTCGTGCAAATCAAATTTACAAAAGTTGTTTTTTCCTTTACAAAAATTTAATTTTGAATTGATTTTTTTAAATTTAATTTATTTCGTTACATATATGTACACATATGATTTGCATTTTGAATTTTATTCTGGAAAAAATGCACAAATACTATTACAGATGCTGCATGTTCGATGACGAATTTAACTTTAATGGCGAAACATCTAAGTAGCTCTACGCCTAATTGTGAGAAGTTATTCATACAAATAAATGTCGAGTTAAAATAATCGAATGAAACGAATGTGGAATATTGTTCTTTCGAACATTTTCACCATCTATATTTGTCCCTTCAGGGCATTAATACAAATTAACTTGAAATTTTACTCACTTCATATTTTTTAACATAGGGTGCTGACTTTTCGGGATTTTATTCATCAGCGTTACGGCGTCATCGTCACGAATCCATTTCAAACTCAAGTCGGTTGTTGAATAACCCACAACTCGCTTTCCTTCATTTATGGCTTGGTTCCATTCATTATTTTCATTCATCAGAGGTTCTAACCATTGTTGAGAATGTGCAGATCGTTTAAACGATTTTATTTGTTGTAGATCCTTGTGCCCTATTAGGGACTTTTGATAAATTCTATATTTAGAAACAAAGTTTCTCTTCGTTGCATTCAACATTTTATCGAATTAGTTGTTTTTAAAAATGCAGTATATATTGTTATGTAAATGCAGAGTTTTACTTTTGTTTCTAAACAAAAGTTATCAGTTATCACAGACTTGACACTTTGACACTTATTTTTTAACAATTGTCATATCATAACAAAATTTAGTAGGATTAGGATAACACGATTTAGTAGGATTAGGATAACACGATTCACGAATCAAAGGCTGTTGTACAATTGTCTTGTCATTTATATTTTATTTATGTTATTTTTTTATTGCTATATTCAAGTTTCTCTACGGAGAACGTCGATCTTCACTGGTCTAGAATTGATAGTTAACTAAAGAATATGAATTAGATCTAATAACATTCGATTTTACTGCATTAATGAAAATATTCTATAATTACAGATGTTTAACTAATAATGAGATAATTAGTTATCTTTTTTTATTGATTAGGTTTATTGAGGCAAATATTAAAGTGACTGTCAGTGATTTACAAAGTGTGTATATAATTATAGTCGGACCGAGATAGTCGGTGATGTTCGGGACGTAGTGTAAAAAATAAACTTTTGTGGGGATCGCCATCGTTAGTTATCATGTATATTTATAGACAAAGCAAAAGGTAGGTTAATATACCTCTTATTACATTTTTTTATTTTGGAGCACTACCTAAATTTCGACCAAGTCCTTCGACGTTTTTTCAGTTCGCTAAGAGATATGGATTCGACGTATTTAGGTAATAACGCCGTACAAAGCATTGTGCCATAGTGGATAAGTGGAATATTTTTATACGCCTCGTCGGAATATAGGTAACGTTGTTGTGTGCCCCTGTTCTGTCAAAACAATTACTAAATTTGTTAAAGTGTTTGTAATGTCTTAATAAAAATATAAACAAAATTGAAATATTTTCAAATTCAGTTGTAATTAAAAGAATTCTTGCTATATTGTGAAAAGAATTGACTTAGTGTAGGACAATCAGAAAAAAAAACAACTCAATGGCAAATATATCCTACATTTTATGTAGGGGAGAGGGGTTCCTTTCAAGGGCGGTATCTTTGAACAGCGCTCATAAAATTTCGGTTTAACATTTTCCGATCCTCAGCCAATTTTTTTGGCAATACTTATCTCTAGTAACGTAAGCAACTTTGGATAGCTTTTTCAGTTGGCCCGAGGGAGCGAAATGAAAAAAGTCAATTTTTGCCTTCCTTAAATATGAGATGAGTATATGATTAAATTTGTTGCATTTTAAAAATAAAATAATGTATATTTTTAGAAGACTTGCAGCACTTTAACTTCTCTAGTTATGTGATCAGTATTTACTACAGATTTATTCACAGATAGAATAACATGGGCTTTGTATTTGATTTTCAGCTACTGTTTTACTCGACATGGGGTAGAAAACCTTTCTTTCGCTTTCCACTTAGTGATACACAGATCCACTTTCAGATATTTTTCATAAAATTTAAAAAATTCTTTACATAAAAATATTATAATTCTTGATAATGGCTTAACTATTGTTTTCATTTTGCAGAAATCTGCTTGTCATATTTACAATTAGTTTGTCCAAATTACGTAGTTATATAAAAATACTCGGAGTTCCTACTCATTACATTTGACCTCTACTTTTGCGTACCAACCCTTCTTGGCACTGAAACTTCAACTTCTTAGAAATAAATCCAAATTAAATCTTACCATTTTCCCCTATTTCTTCTATAGATTCCTTAAATATTTGTACACAATCATGCTGCTCAACCCATCGTGTTTCATAATATGAATGTAGTCGTTTGAAAGATTTACTTGCTTCTCAAAATATTCTACATAATGTAGCAGACCCTTTTGGATTTCCTAAATAATGTGTAAATGTCCAAAATTGACCTCTTAATTTTTTTATCCAAACCCAAACTGATTACTGTGTTTATTATGACGGTAAAATTTTTTTTTCAGTTTATCCTTCAAATTTCACGTATCAAAGGAAACATTCCTTTACTTGTTTAGATACCTTGTCAAAAAGCGTATAAGACTATATATGTATAGTATATGTATAACAGTTTTCACTTCTTTAACAACAATAGTCTTCTGCTTGTATTTATCATTTAGTTATATTTACTTGTTCAGTATTCTGGAACTCCTTTTCTAAGTTTACGTCTAACGACAGTATTCAGGAGGCTTTAATTTCCCTCAAGGCGATGTCTTCCCTTTCACACAATAAAATTGTCTCAATGGTCAATTTAACATTATACTTTTGTTCTTTCAATATCCATTATTAATATTTTATCCACTATTTATACTCGTCTTTAACATTAAATTTGTTTTGTCTAAAATTTTTTTTTTATATTCCTCTTGTGTATGTAAAAATTTGGGTAATTCTATTGAACGGCATATACATTAGAACTTTTTACCGGGTTAACCAACTTTTTGAGGATTTATGTGACATATATGCAAAGGAATTGACAATTGAAACCCACTGGGTTAACAAAATCCGGTTAAAAGTAAACGTACTATTAGAATTAAAATTTTTCAAAACTATACTTAGGGTCCCCCTGGCCCCATGCCATGAATTAAAATTTTTCTGTAAGAACTTTCCACAAAGGTAATCCGCGTGCGTCCTCTAAATTTAGATAATAACATTCCTAAAGATGTCTCAAAAAATCATGTGATAAATAAGTATAATCTTCAAATTGACAAAAATGTATTAAAAACAAGATTTTAAAACCAATTCTCCCATATCTCCGCTTCGGATAACGTTTTAACCAAATAATTGCAAATTTTATGTAAAATATTTTATGATTACTATTTCGCCCTCAATAACCTCTTTATTCGTATACATACCATATTGGTATGTAACTATTTCATGGATATGTGATAGTTTTTTTTTTAAGATGGTCACCAAACAAGTTAAATAACTCTTGGGACCGCAAACCTCCGCAGCTGATTTTTTATACGTTAAAGAACAAACTTTTCACCACTCAAATAAAAAATAGAGCGACATTTTTTGAAACTATTTTTTCTACTCCACTAATTTAAATTATTTGTTTTACAAATTAGATGAACTAAGTCCTACAGGTGTGAACAACTGTATATACCATATGATCTCTATATACATACAAACAACGTCGAATACTAGTTTGTAACATCCACAGTAACCAAAATAAACACTTCTATAATAACTGTTAATTTCTTCGATGTTTTTTATATCCTCGCAGAGAAGGCTAGATCTGTGGCATGTGGTGCAGAACTAAAAATGCATTATTTTGTAATTAAATACAATTGTGTATATATACAGTGATGGTCGCGCAATTAAAACATTTAATGTTGTAAACATTTTTTGATCAGCCCTCTTTAAATTAGTTAAATTATGTAAACTAATCATCGATAAAATCATTTACAAATATTTTGTTTTTTGAAAAAAATATGTAAAATTGATCAAACTTGCCAAAAATTTGTGCAGTACACCCAACATTCAGAAAATCATCCTTATTATAGAAAATAAAGGTCCGAATACACCAGATGTTGCTACAATAAATAAATATTTGAAGGAACGATTCAATTTCAATATCCTTTATTGAAGAAGGCCGGAATATTTTTGCAGTATGTGATGAAATATCGATTGATATAGTCATAATAAATGACAAATCGATTGTTCGAGTAGTGCAGAATATATTTAATCAAAAAATATATCAGTCACAACAGAACGAACAGAGACCAACGCCTATGTTGACGAGTAAAAATTTCTGGTACACAGCATTGGTTCAGAAAAATGTTTCCATTTGTAATCTATCTAGCAACATGAATAAATGTTTATATACAAAATATGTCAACACTTGTACTAAAATCAATGTGGATTCATTAGCGCCATCTACATACCATGTAACCACACTAAGCCTATGATAGTTTATTGGCCGAAGGTAGAGGTCGCTTATACATATAAAAGTTTTATTGTAATCTACACTGACATTTATATACATCAAGCATAACAAGCAGGTGTCATGTATAATAATTGTGATTGTGTGTGCAAAATATTTTGATATTAACCGTATTATAACCCGACGATTTAAAGCAAACTTGACACTCACAATTCGTTATTCTGCATATATATATATATATATATATATATAAAACTCAATACACGTCATTCTAGATTCATATGACGTTTGTGAACCTTTTATATAAAATCGGACGAAACTATATATGAAGCTATATCTAAATCTGAAACGATTTGCACCATTTTCAACGCGGGTTTTCTTTAACCAAATCATAAATGCAACCCGTACTTTGTTTACAGTCGTACATAATACAAAGACGCAAAAAATCGACACAGAAAGTGATTCTATGCGTATCTTCAAAGTTAACTATGGACATATCTCGAAATGATTTTGTAAAGTGTGGTTAAAAATTCCGATGTAATGAAAAACGAACGAAAACTTTATACAAGATATATAATATCCCTTAATGCTGCATTGGAAATTAGTTAATTAAAAAATGTCTTGTCATTTTAACATGATTCCTTTACCCTACTGGCCATTACGACTTGCACATAATTCCGTAGGATCTCGTTACGTTTCCACAACCTTCATATCATCGAAGACTAATATCCAAATTCAATTGCCTGACGTCATGTAGTTCCCTTGCTTCAGGAACAGTCGGCCGCAATATTGCCTCTTTTCATTTAATTTTGAATATCACGAATTCAAGTTTAAGGACCGATCGAATAATTTAAAATTCACAATAGCTGGAGCCCCTGGTTCAACGACACATGCTTTTCTGACGGAATCCGTGGTATCTGATATATTGGCATCCAAAGTTCCCATGGGCCAATATATTTTCTTTTCGTTTTGAAGCGGTTTTGTGGTATATGTCATAGATTTCAAAGTGTGTAACACTTTTTTTA